CCATAATACTAAAGGTATTTTGGATTATGTTCACTCTGATGTTTGGGGTGCTTCCAAAACACCTTCATTAGGTGGGAACATTATTTTGTAACCTTTATTGATGACTTTTCCCGAAAAGTATGGGTGTATACTATGAAAACCAAATATGAGGTACTGAAATTTTTCTCAAATGGAAGGCGATGATAGAGACTCAAACAGGTAGAAAGATAAAGTGTTTCCGCACAGATAACAGTGGAGAGTACAAAAATTATCTTTACAATAAGATTTGTAAAGATGATGGCATTTTGAGACATTTCACCGTCAGAAATATACCACAACAGAATGGAGTGGCAGAACGCATGAACCAGACTTTGCTGGAGAAGGTTCGGTGTATGTTTTCCAATGCTGGCTTGGGTAAAGAATTTTGGGTTGAGGCAATAACATATGCATGCCACCTCATTAATCATCCACCATGTGCCGCTATTGGTGGCAAGACACCATTTGAAAAATGGTATGGAAAACCTGTTGAAGATTATAATTTTTTACATGTGTTTGGCTCAATTGCATACTATCATGTGAAAGAGTCAAAATTGGATCCGAGAGCAAAGAAAGCTATTTTATGGGGATCACTTCTGGAGTCAAAGGATACTGATTATGGTGTCCAGAGATAAGAAAAATTATATTAAGCAGAGATGTTATCTTTGATTAATCTGCCATAACAGATAAGGTGACAGTTGAAGATGTCAAACAAACTGATGGTGCTTCAAAGCAGGTGGAGTTTGAGGAAAAAATAATTTTTCCAACACAGGGAGAAAACGAGAAAACGATAGAAGATTGTCCCCTGGAAGAAGAGTCAGTGGAAGGGGAGATTCCAACTCAGGAACCCCAACAACAACTTGAATCAATAGCAACCAGCAAGCCAAAAAAAATAATAAAGAAACATGTTCATCTCATAGAGATGGTGGCTTGTACAGTCTCAATTGTAGCTGATGGTATTCCTACCACTTATAATGATGCAGTCCAAAGTTAAGAAAAAGATAAGTGGAGGGTTGCCATGAATGAAGAAATGCGGTCCCTTCATCAGAATTGCACATGGAAATTGGCCAATCTCCCGAAGAAAAAGAAAGCAATTGGGTGCAAATGAGTATTTACAAAGAAAGAAGGATTTCCTAACCAAGAAGATGTTCGCTACAAAGCAAGATTGGTGGCCAAAGGGTACGCTCAAAAGGAGGGAATTAATTACAATGAGGTATTTTCTCCAGTCGTGAAACATTCCTCCATTAGGGTTTTGTTGGCTTTGATAGCACTGTTAAATTTGAAACTAGTTCAGTTAGATATAAACACTGCATTTTTACATGGAGACTTAGAAGATGAAATCTATATGACTCAGCCAGAAGGATTCAAAGTTACTGAAAAGGAAAATATGGTGTGCAAACTTGAAAAATCATTGTACGGATTGAAACAATCTTCTAGACAATGGTACATACGATTTGACAAGTTTATGTTGCGGCAGAAGTACAGAAGAAGCAAATATGATCATTGTGTGTATTTGCGCAAGCTTGAAGATAGATCCTTCATATATCTTCTCCCATAAGTTGATGATATATTGATAGCTTCCAAAAGTCAAGAGGAAATTGAGAAGTTGAAGATTCAACTAAGAAAGGAGTTTGAGACGAAGGATTTAGGTGAGGCAAAGAAAATTCTTGACATGTAGATAAAAAGAGATAGACATTCAAAGAAACTCTATCTATCTCAGAAAGAATACTTGAAGAAAGTAATAGATAGATTTGGCATGAATGGGAACACAAAATCGGTTAGCACTCCTCTTGCTCCTCAGTTTAAGCTTAGTGCTTCTATGTCGCCGAAGAATGAAGCTGAACGAGAGTATATATCAAGAGTGCCATATGCGAATGTCGTTGGTAGCTTGATGTATGCAATGGTTTGAACAAGACCTGATATTTCACATGCTATCGGAGTTGTAAGCATGTATATGCATGATCCAGGAAATGAGCATTGGCAAGCTGTAAAATGGATTCTAAGGTATATTTGTAACACTGTAGATGTTGGATTACTTTTTGAGCACGAAGATAGTCAGTATCTAGTTGGATATTGTGACTCGGATTATGCGGGTGATTTGGACAAGCATAGATCAACTACTGGTTATGTTTTTACTTTTGCAAATGCACCAGTTAGTTGGAAGTCTACTTTGCAGTCAACGGTTGCTTTGTCTACTACTGAGGCAGAGTACATGGCAATTACGGAGGCTATAAAGGAGGCAATTTGGCTTCAAGGGTTGCTTAGAGATCTTGGTATTGGTCAAGAAAGCATCACACTATTTTGTGATAGTCAGAGTGTTATCCAATTAGCAAAGAACCAAGTTTATCATGCAAGGACGGAGCACATTGATGTTCGATATCACTTTGTACGAGATATTATAGAAGAAGATGGAGTCATGGTGCAGAAAATTAGGACTACAGACAACCCTCCTGATATGCTAACAAAAGTAGTGACTGCGATCAAGTTTCAACATTGTTTGAACTTGATCAACATTGTTGAACTTTGAAGATTGAAGTTGAAGACACAATCAAAATTTATCAGTGAGAGAAAATTGAAAAAGTGAAATCTTGCCAAGGTGGAGATTTGTTGAATTTGACAAGATTAATGTGAATTAATGTGAATATTTGAATCCTCCTTTTAGGAAGAAATTGGTAGATGCATTTTTCATGCATTTATATTGCATGTTCACACTTAATTTGATGTCATGCATGACATTATTAAGGTCATTTCCCTTCTATGAATAGCAAGGGTTTTGTTCATTTGAAAACATGTCTCACTTGCCTTCTTATCTCCTAAGGCATTTGAATCTTCTTTCTCTCTTGTAGTATTTTACTTGTATTTTTTGGAGTAAAATAAATTTGAGTTGATTGTGTCCGAGGACTAGGCAAAAAGCAAATTTTGCCGAACCTCGTTAATTTCTGGTGTTCATTTTATTATTGTCTCATTTACTATTTATTAGCTACCTTTAGATATAGTAGTAGTGATTTAATCACTCTCTATATATTTGGCTTCCGCAACAGCTTTGGTGTCTTTGTCATATAACATTCTAGTAATTAAATTTGCCGACCGCTAACCAAATAAAAGAGGTAATTAATAGAACTGAGAACTAAATATTTCTAAAAAAAAATTATTTCGTATAGTGGCTTTTCTAGAAAAGAAGAAGAAAAAGAAGCAAAAGGTCTAATGAAGATTTGATGATCGTGAATCTCACTTTGTTTTAAGTTAATACTAGCAGCTGGTTTTCAATTGATCATTATAGTTTGACTTTCCAGTGTTAGAAGCATGTGCAAAGCACGATTTCTAAATTGCAAAGGGTCAAATATACTCATGTAATTTCGAAAATGGTCTAAAAATACTTCTCGTTATACTATTGAGCTATATATACTCTTCCTGTCATACTTTGGAACAAATATACCCTTATTTTGGATGGAGTGCCACGTGGCAGCACCAGATGAAAACGACTCATTTCTTTTTTTTTAAACCCGATCCGTTTTAAAAAACCCACCACCCGACCCGTTTTAAAATTCATTTTTTTTTAGTTTTTTTAAAGCATATATTTTGTAAAAACTGGATTTTTTTTTTGTAAAAACTGAAAAAAATAAATAAAAAATTTACAAAATATATATTATTAAGTCTTTTCAGTTTTTTTAAAGTATTTTTTTTTGTAAAAACTGAAAAGAAAAAAAGACTCTCCTAAAGCGGTGGACACATATGCATTAGTTTTAAAAAAATAAAAATATTTTGCAAAATCTTTTTTTTTTTTTCAGTTTTACGAAAAAAATACTTTAAAAAACTAAAAAAATTGAAAAATATATATTTTGAAAATTCTTTTTTTTTTCAATTTTACAAAAAAATATTTTTTTTAAAAATGCTTTAAAAACTGAAAAATATATATTTTGTAAAAACTGAAGAAAAAAAAAATTGCAAAATATATATTTTTTAGTTTTTTCAGTTTTTTAAAGTATTGTTTTTGTAAAAACTGAAGAAGAAAAAAAATTTTGCAAAATATTTTTATTTTTTAAAAACTAATGCATATGTAGTCCAATGCTTTAGGAGAGTCTTTTTTTTCCAGATTTTACAAAAAAATAAAAAAACTGAAAAGACTTAAAAATATATATTTTGCAAATTCCTTTTTTTTTTCCAGTTTTTACAAAAATAAATTCCAGTTTTTACAAAATATATGCTTTAAAAAAACTGAAAAAACTGAATTTTAAAACGGGTCGGGTGGTGGGTTTTTAAAAACGGATCGGGTAACAAAAAGAAATATGTCGTTTTCATCTGGTGCTGCCACGTGATACTCCATCCAAAATAAGGGTATATTTGTTCCAAAGTATGACGGGAAGGGTATATATAGCCCAATAGTATAATGAGGGATATTCTTAGACCATATTTAAAAATACAGGGGCATATTTGGCCCTTTCCCGATTTCAAAATACAAAAAAAGTGGAAAAATATGTTAAATGTAAAAGGTAGATTAACAAAGCATCTATCTAACATTGGGAGTGTCCCGCCTAACGGCGAGCCCGGACGTGTCCCGAAAAGCCTTCTAAAACAACTGCTTTTATCCTAGTTTGAGAGGAGTCTTGAAAAGTTATTTCTCGTATTATTGATTGGTCTTTGACGCGTGTAATTCCAACAGTTAATCTCAATGGGAAAACAGAAAAGAGGCCAAAGAGGGAAGAAGCTTCCCGATAAAATAATAAAAGAAAAGTTATTATCATAAAGATAATATATCCCAGATTTACGTTTAAATAGTATTTTTCAATTGTTGATTAATAAAAGAGCAAAGCAAGAAAAAGAGAAAAGAAAATACAAAAAAATTGTTTTCTAGTGTTGTAGATTCTGGCAGCCAGGCTGCCACTAGCCCAGCAACACATTGGCACGTTGTGGTCAAATTCGATAGGCTTATTCATAGCCACGAGCAGTCCAAAATCTTTACGAAACCAAACTTCTCTCTCTCTCTAACTTCAAATCTCAACTCTCCATTTTCTTGATTTTGAAGTTTCAACGTTCCAAAATCCACTGCGTTATCCTCTTTCGTCCTACTTTCTTGGCTGCCCCACAAACAACTATACAACACTTCCAGATTCTCAGTGTTGCCTCCTCCATTCCACTCCCCCTTGTATTTATTAAAACCTGATTATACCCCCCTCTTTCAAAAACCATTCTCTCTCTCTCTCTCTCTCTCTCTCTCACACACACACACAGAGAGTTCATAGGTTTCTCCGTTTGTGGGGTACTCTGCGTTGACAAAAAGGTTTGTTCTTGATCTGGGATTCTGTTAAACTGATGCCTTTTTAAGCTCATAGATGCTTGTATTGAAATGGGGTTCTTTGCTCTCTTTTTTTTTTTAGTTTATTTAAGCTTTTGAGAATTGGGGTTTTGTCCTAGATCTTATGTTTGACTGTAATGTAGCTAATGTACATGAAATCTGATTCAAATTTGTTTCGTTTTGCTCCCTCTTAATTTTGGTTGCAGGAGCTTCTCTAATCTTGGATTGACTGAGGTACTCCTTTGAAATTCTCCATTACCTTTGTTAGATCTGGCTGTGTTTTAGGATCCCTTTTTGTTGTTAAACCCTTTGACCTTTTAAAAATTCAATCTTGAAACCATTTATTGAGCAAAAAAAATTCAATCTTGAAACCTCCTATAATCTGCACTATTGGTGAATCTTAGATTATTGAATAACCATTGAGCTTAAAGGTTCCAATTTGTTTGAAGAGCTTGAATTGACCTTGAGCTGTTGGTTTTATTAGTTTTGGCCTTTTGGGTAAGGAAAAGTTGTTGAGTTCCATCAAAATGAGTGAATCCAAACCAGAAGCCCCAGTTAATAATGCTCCTTCTTATTCCAGAAACTTTCCTGATTTCAAACAATCTGTGAAACTGAAGTATGTGAAACTTGGATATCATTACCTCATTACTCATGGAATGTATCTATTTTTATCCCCTCTAGTAGTTGTTCTTGCTGCTCAACTCTCTACGTTCTCGCTCAGTGACTTATATATTCTTTGGGAGCAGCTTAGGTTCAATCTCATATCCGTCGTCATATGTTCCACCCTTTTGGTCTTCCTGTCCACCCTCTATTTCCTAACCCGCCCTCGCCCTGTATACCTTGTTGACTTCTCGTGCTATAAGCCTGAAGATTCTAGGAAATGCACGAGGCAGATTTTCATGGAGAGGTCAAAGTTGACTGGTTCGTTCCCTGATGAAACTCTTGAGTTCCAAAGGAAAATTCTTGAGAGGTCTGGACTTGGTGAATCGACTTATCTCCCTGAAGCTGTGTTGAGGGTACCGCCAAATCCTTGTATGGCAGAAGCACGAAAAGAAGCTGAGATTGTTATGTTTGGTGCCATTGATGAACTCCTTGCTAAAACCGGTATTAAGTCAAAGGATATTGGAATTCTAGTAGTAAATTGCAGCTTGTTTAATCCAACCCCCTCATTGTCTGCAATGATCGTGAACCATTACAAGCTTCGTGGAAACATTGTTAGCTACAATCTCGGTGGAATGGGTTGCAGTGCTGGTTTAATCTCGATTGATCTTGCAAAAGATCTTCTTCAAGTCCATCCCAATACTTATGCTTTGGTGCTCAGCATGGAAAACATCACTTTGAACTGGTATTTTGGGACTGAGAAATCCATGCTCCTTCCGAATTGCTTATTTCGAATGGGAGGCGCTGCTGTATTGCTCTCTAACAAAGGATCTGAGAGAAGAAGATCAAAGTACCAGTTGGTTCATACTGTCAGAACTCATAAAGGTTCTGACGACAAGTGTTTTTCTTGTGTTTACCAAATGGAAGATCCCAATGGAAAAGTTGGAGTATCGCTGTCGAAGGATTTAATGGCAGTAGCTGGCGATGCGCTAAAAACCAATATCACTACATTGGGTCCTCTTGTACTTCCCATGTCCGAGCAGTTGCTTTTCTTTGCGACGCTCGTGGGAAGAAAACTGTTGAAGATGAAGATCAAGCCTTATATCCCAGATTTTAGATTGGCCTTTGAGCATTTCTGCATTCACGCTGGCGGCAGAGCTGTGTTAGATGAAATTGAGAAAAACCTGCAACTTACCGACTGGCACATGGAGCCTTCAAGGATGACATTGTATCGATTCGGAAACACCTCGAGTAGCTCTCTTTGGTATGAATTGGCCTACTCGGAAGCTAAGGGAAGGATCAAGAGGGGAGACCGAACTTGGCAGATAGCATTCGGTTCAGGGTTCAAATGTAACAGTGCAGTTTGGAAAGCTTTACGATCAATTAATCCAGCCAAGGAGAAGAACCCGTGGATGGATGAGATCAACCAGTTCCCCGTGGATGTTCCACGGGTTGCAAAAATCTAACAATCCGATGGAGCTATCATTTAGCTTAGCGTTCCCAAAATTGTTGGGGAATTATTCTTTATCTGTTGCAATGTGCTGTTCAGTCGTTTCCTTTTGTGATTTGAAAGCTAGTCTTTAGCTGATGTAATTCTGTTGAGAAGCTGGGATAGGGAATTCTACTTGCTTTCAATTGTAATGAGGATCAATCAATTAAGTGTTCTTCTCATTTTGATGTTTCTTGGATATTGAGTTTAGGGTCATTGATTTGGTGGAGTTGAGGGGGTAATTGCTGAATATCTGTCAGTTGATATTCATGTGTACTATTTATTATTCAAGATTTATCCTAGAAATTGATATTCATCATGTAATGCCTGATTAATCAGTGAGCAGAGTAGTTGTGCTATTGATTTCTGCAATAAGTTGCTTCATCAAATATGCATTTCCCTATTAACCCCATCACATTGCCCCCTATGTGTTTTCACTTTGTTTTATGATAAAGAACATTTAGGTGAAGTTGAAGGTGAAACAAAGTTGAAACTTATCTGTTGATTTGTTGATAATAGGATAAGGTTTCATGAGATTTATCTACCTTCTTGCTTTGTTTGTAAAGGAGAAAGGCGAATGATGGAAATTAAGGAAGAAAATGGTTTGAGATAAAAGAGAAGAAAGGTAAGGGTTTGTTTGGAAGCCACCAACTAATTGGAATTAGTGTAATTACTAGGGTGGTAATTACAAACCTAGTAATTACACAGTATTGTGATTACGAAGACCTGTTGGTTTGCCATAATGTAATTACAAGTGTACTGTTTGGTTGCAAGTGTAATTACATAGTTAAATTAAATTTTAAATATAAAGTTGATTATCAAAAATTTAAAGTTAAAATTTAACAAATATGCCTTTATAAATGATATAAATTTTGACATTCAAGAAACATATTATTTTTTGAAAATATATTAATTGCTAATCATATATTTGTAACTGATATTGTAAAAATACTTGATATATACTTTTCAAATTAATAATATTTTACTTTAATTAATCATAATAACTAAAAGTACATATGTTGTAAGATTATCATGGACTGCATAAGAAAACATAAGTGTATAACCTCATTCAATAATAAGATTCTACTTTAATTACATCCTCATTATATGCCAAGATTTTACTTTCTAATATTAGGTGTTGTTTCAAAACTAAAATAATAGTACAATTATGCTAAATGAAGAAAATAAAGAAAAATAAGAAATATGAGCAATTACATGGAATCAATATAGGTTGGATAATGAGAATATTATTTAAATATTAAAAAGTAACCGATCATTTTGACATAGTTAAGTTTGCATATTACCTCATCCAATAATAAAGTTCAACTTTAATGACATCACTTATTATAAGTCAACTTTGAGGATGACTTATTCTTTCTAAGATTATGAGGTATAAGTTCTTACAAAAATTAAAATAACAACATAGCCAAGTGTAACAAAATAAAGAAAAATAATTAAGAAAGAAATAAAATATGAGGAATTATGTAGAAACGTGATGGTAAAGGTCGGAAAATGAGAAATAAGAAAGTAAAGGATAAATATGTAAAAATAATAATATTTAAAAAATGAATTTAAGAAAGTTAAAATAAAAATAAATTAAAAAGAACAAAGAATATAATAAAAGGTAAATTAAAAAGAAAAGAAAAGAGATTCAAAAAACAACCTTATAATTATCAGTTGAGAATTGGAGAGTGTAGTTGCATCCCTCAATTACACCCAATTACATACTGACCAAGCAATTATTTGATTAGACAAACATGCCAAAACTGTATAATTACACCCAATTATGCCCAAATCTAATTACCGAGTGACTTTCCAAACAAGCCCTAAGTTGTTTATTCCTTTTGAAAAATGTGAGTTTTCTTTCTCTTCTTCACAAACCAAAGAAGGGGAAGAAGAAGTTTTAAGCCTTAGCCTGTGTTTTCTTAGCCAAAATTAAATTAATGATTAAGAAGCTATTTTATTTAATAAAGAAACACGTATCAGATTAAGATTAAAGTGTTGAATAATTAAATATTTTTAAATTGTAAAAATCGTATACAATATACTATTAGTGGAATAGTATCAAACCAATCTATA